TCAGTCGGAGATATCAGCAGTTCACCAGATAAACCAGAGAGACAAATGCCATCAGTGTCGATCGAAGTTATCCAAAGCTCACCAGATAAACCAGAGCGACAAATCCCATCATTGTCAGTCGGAGATATTAGCAGATCACCAGAAAAACTGGAGCAACAGATCCCACCGGTGTCAGTTGGAGTTATTAGCAGTTCACCAGATAAACCGGAGGGACAGATCCCACTGGTGTCAGTCGGAGTTATCAAAAGCTCACCAGATGAACCAGAGCGACAGATCCCATCAATGTCAGGTGGACTCACCAGCAGTTCACTAGATGAACCGAAGCAACAAATTCCACCAGTGTCAGTTGGAGTTATCAGCAGTTCACCAGATAAACCGGAGCGACAAATTCCATTGGTGTCGGTCAGAGTTATCAGCAGTTCACCAGAAGAAACGGAGCGACAAATCCCATCTGTGTCATTTGAAGTTATCAAAAGCTCACCAGATGAACTGGAGCAACAGATCCCATCTGTGTCAGTTGCAGTTATCAGCAGTTCACCAGATAAACCGGAGCATCAGACCCCTCCGTTGTCAGTCGGAGTTATCAGCATTTCACCAGAAAAACCGGAGCGACAAATTCCTTTTGTGTCAGTCGAAGTTATCCCAAGCTCACCCGATAAACCAGAGCGACAAATCTCATCAGTGTCAATCGGAGATGTCAGCAGTTCACCAGAAAAACCGGAGCAACAAATCCCATCAGTGTCAGGAGGAGTTATCAGCAGTTCACCAGAAAAAACAGAGCAACAAATCTCATCTGTGTCAGTCAAAGTTATCAATAGCTCAACAGATGAACCAGAGCGACAGATCCCATCATTGCCAGTTGGACTTATCAGCAGTTCACTAGATGAACCAGAGCAACAAATCCCATCAGAGTCAGTCGGAGATATCAGCAGTTCACCAGAAAAACCGGAGCAACAAATCCCATCAGTTTCGGAAGGAGTTATCAGCAGTTCACAAGAAGAACCTGAGCAACAGATGCCACTGGTGTCAGAACATGATGAACGTGAATCAATTCTTCAGAGTGAAAGCATGACAGAAGAACCAGATTTGACCTTTGCAGATATTCACCCAGATAAGTTGACGGTGGATGAAGTAAATGTTAAAGAACCTGAACACCAAGAACCAGCTGAAATGAGTTTATCTAAAATGAGTTTATCTGAAAAGAGCGGCGAGGAAACAAATCAAGCTGATCCTCAGTTCGAACCCAACAGGCTCACACCTGTGGCAGGTGAAGATGCTGATGTTCACAACCAGCCCACACCTTTACCAGACAAGATGCATGAAGCATCAAAAATCTCAGATGAAAGTTCTGTCCAAGTGAAAGAAATCCATCTGAGCTCTTTTGAGAACCAAACTATCAGCACAGAGAAGCTGCCGGAGACGGAGGTCCAATCTGAGACCCATAAAGAGACAGAAGACATGACTGCAGCTCAAGTTCAGCCTGACTCGTCTGCATTCAGGATGACGAAGGAGCAGGTCCAAGAAAGTTTTACTGGGTTCATCACTGAACCATGTTCAGTTCTTAAAGTCCTAATTAAAGAACACATGACAGATGTGGGAGAGAAAACTGAAGGAGAAGAGCACAAGTTGATGATGAAGGAATGTGAAGATATTCTGCTTCAAACGAGCCGGACTGCGTCTGAAGAAATTATTCTTCGGGATGTGAATTTACCAAAAGTGAGTCCAAAGGCTTACAGCGAGTTTTTGTACCGTACGCTGAGACATATGAGCTTTGAAGTCTTGAAGAGGGTTAGTTTGAGGAACAAATAACATCTCCTGCAATAAAGTCCTGCCACGTAAAATTCTGAGTAATCCAACTTCATCAGATTTATGAAGATTATCTGAGATAACCACAGAAAAACCATCAAGAATTCAGCATTAGAGGAAAGTCACAAGTGTTTTCTGTCATTCTTAGTTTGTTGAAATATGTTTTATAACTTTATTCAAAATAAACAATAGATTCACTTAGTTTACATGGTTTTACAGACTTATTAGGCACTGGTTTGTTTTAATATCATTACATGCACAGAGATGATCCAAAAATTTTTAACTCATCTTTTGCACGTTGAAACAATTCTAACAATAAACCTGGAGTTTCTTGGTGACAACAGGAGGTGGTGTTGGGTTCTGAAGAGATCCTGACAGAGTCACTGCAGGAGAAATCAACTGACATCAGCCCGGGTCGACAAACTCATTTGGAAGGATTAACAGTTCAAGAACGAAAAATTCAGGAGGGTAAGGAACCGGTCCTGGAGGAACCAGACCTGGAGGAACCAGGAGGAACTGCCATGGAGAACATTTTCACAGAAATACAGTTCCTCTCTCGAACAGGGGCCATCAGTCAGATTATTCAGGTCAGTCTATTAATGTTGGTCCTTGAGTGGGTTTTGATGCTGCTGGCTCGTGTCCAGTACCTGAGGGGTACAATCTGAGTCACTGGTCTTTATCCACAGGGTACACAACAGGAAGACGCTCTAGAGACTCTCCTCACCTCCAGCAGGGATTTGGATCTTCTGCTCAGCAGAGTTGTTTCAAAGGTTCTGAGCATCAAGAACCGTCCTGCTGAGCTCAGCCCGGCAGCTATGGCCCAGCAAGTGGAGGAGGCTCAGGTGAGACGAGGCTCTTATAGAATCTTTCACAAGATGTTGCTAAGAAAAGCATCAATCCACCAAGGTGTCCTTAGAGTAGTAAATATTTGTCACAGGCAGTTTATGAGGACCATGACCTAAAAGAACCTGTGAATTGGAAATCCAAGCTTTGAGTAACTTTGTGTTTGAGTGCAGGAGTGCAGAGACGTTGCACAGCTTCAGTTGTCGGTGGTCTCTCAGATGAGGGAGGCTGATGCTACAAACGAGCACAATCTGGATCTCTTGGAGGACGAGTGGAGCGCCGTGGTTCAGGATGCTGCTGCTGTGATCCAGACTAAAGAAGCCCAGCTGCAGCTGGTGTCTGATTACTGCACACAGATCCACTCAGCAAGGACCAAAGTTGATCAGCTGACAGCAGAGCTGGATGCTGTGAAAATGTGAGTTGTCTCCGTCTGTTTCAGTCCGCATGATTCAGAGGACCTGACGGATAAACAGAGAACATGTTTCATTTCAGGTCTCCAGAGCAGAGCTGTCAGACACATGCCGGGCAGCTGACCTCCTTTCAGAGATGTTTGGAGGGGAACAGAACAATACTTGGAGAGGTGCTCCTGATCCACACCAGGGTGTGTCTCATACTCTGTCACTCTGATAGGGAAACTGTCCGGACTGAGCAGAAGAACCTCCAAGAGGAGTGGAGCTCTCTGGAAAGGACTGTTGAGAGCTCCCTTCATCTTACCACCATCTTCTCTGACCACATCATCATCCTCCTGTCAGATTTGACCAGTCTGCAGAAGCACCTGGAAACCATCAGGAAAGACCTTCAAGCCAAAGACTCCTCAGCTGCTCCGTGGAGTTACAGGGAGGCGCAGCATCTGATGGAGATAAACGCTGAGGTCAAAGCTCTCCAACAGGAGTACCAGTACTTAAAGCAGCTGTCAGAGGAGCTGCTCCTCAGCTGCAAATGGAAGGATGATTCAGAGAAGATGCACCACAGACTCCAGGAGGTCAGAGAGAAACTGAGTCACATAGAGGAGCTCCTGTCCTCCCAGACTAAAACCAGCAGCAACCCTGTCATGGAGAAGATCATCACTGTGATGAAGGACGCCCTGGTAACTGCCAAACAGATGGAGAAAGACATAGAGGGCAAGAGGAGGAGGGTGCCTCTTCTTCCTGAAGAGGTTCACCAGCAGCTCAGGGATCTGAAAAAGCAACAGTCAGACATCTTGGCCAAACAGGGGCAGCTGAACTCTTTGGTGGAGGAGGTGACGGAGCTCCTTCCACAGCTGGACCAGGCTCAGGAGGTACCAGTCATCCACACGTCCCTGGAATGCCTTGAAGAACTATCCAAGTCCACCACTGAGAAGCTGGCCAAGGCCATGAAAGAAGTGGAGTCTGGTCTCCAGACCCGGGAGAAGCTGTCTGAGCAGATTGCAGATTTGGATTCCTGGATTCTGGCTCATCTCCAGTCGGAGGTCTCGAGGCACGCAGACGGTGAGCTCCTGAGTCAGGCTGAACTGGATCGCAGAGTTCGCCGCATTCAGGAAACGCTGTCTGAAGCTGAGAGGCAGGCGGCGCTCTGTGAAGCTCTGTTAATGAAGACTAAAGATCTCAGGTCTGAACTCAGCATCTCAGAAACATCTCAGCTCTTTGATAAAATCAGGAACCTCCAAGAGGACATCAGAGCTATAAGCAGCAGGGAGAAGACCAAAAAGGAAGAACTGGATGAAGTCATGAAGACTACAGATTCAAGGAGGAGAACCCTGCTGGTGGTTGAACAAAGCCTTAGGCAGATCTTAGTAGAGCTGAGCAGACACAGGTTCCCCATCACCAGAGAGTCCCTTCAAGCTTTAAGACCTTTGAAACACACAATTTTGGAACACAAGTTTCAGGTTGACCTCCTGAAGCCGTGGATCCCACAGGAAAAAAACAACGAGATTAAGTCTGTTATTTCTGACTTTCAGAATAAAATTCATACTCTAGAGATAAAAGCCAGAGATCATGAGAGCTTCCTGAATATGAGGCAATCTGTGGAGGATCTCAGGGAGAACGTTCAGGAGCAAGTCCACCAAACGAAAAATGAAACCAGGGACCTGGAAGACAGGTACAAGTTGTGCCAGACCCTCCTGGTCCAGTTTCCTTTGATGAAAAGCCTTTGTAGACGGGCCGGATCCAAACTCCAGAGGATTTCTGCAGACCTGTTTCCCTCCCAGCTGACTGCCGAGCAGCAGAGGCTGAAACAAACTGAGGATGGCCTCCACACTCTGGAGATAACGCTCCTCAACAACCTCAGTCTCGTCGAGTGGAACACGCTCAAAGACCTGGACCTTGAATCAGACAGGAAAGCTACTCGGTTCTTCCTATCCAGGACCCAGAAGGAGCTTCAGAAGCTCCGTTTGATGGATCCAAACCAGACTGCGATTGACGGAGAGTACCAGAAACTCTTGTCTTTAAAAATGACCGTGGAGTCAAAACTCAGAGCGCTGGAGCTTCTGGCGCAAAAGAAGGGAAGCAAACAAACATCTGAACATCTGCTGGCCTTAAAGACTGCAGTCCTCACTGAATGTGACTCCCAGATGGTGAGAACTTATCTTCTTCTGACTTCACTATGGGATTTAAACTGGTCCTGCTGGTTTAAGGCTGGACCTGTTGGTTCTCTGACCCATGGATGGTAAATAAATAAAAACAACCATTTTATTTTCCCTCCAGGAGAAAGTCCTCCATGCTGGAGAATGTCTCAGAAGCTACACCCGTGCCGTCAATGACACGGTACAGTTTCTGCAGGACATGGAGGAGTCTCTGCTGACCCGTCAGGATTCTGCTGGACTCTGCTGTGAGGGTCTGGAAGAGACCCGGCAGACTTTGGCCTCACTGCAGGATCACTTCCAAACCTACATGGACCAGGTCCAGAACCAGGCTGCTCTGCAAGCCCTCCTGCTCCCTCAGAGCTTTGAGAAGCTCCATGAAAGTGTTCTGAGCCAGCTGCTAGTTCGGGCGTCCACGCTACAGGCAGGAGGTCACGTACGACTGGAGCGCCTCAGCAGGTGAACTCACCTGAGCCCAAGTCCAAGATGTTAGCATGCAAAGCTAAAACATGGATCTTCCCAGTGATCAGATGATCTTCAAAACAGAGAAGTTACATTTCCTGCAAAAATACAGTGTGAATGCTCATTGCTGAATAACTTCCTGAAATTAGCTGAAACATACTGAAATGTAGCCGAAATGGAAGAACAAGCAGAAATAGAAGGAACACATATTTGCTGAATTAGGCATAAATAAACAGAAATGAGCACAAAAATATGGAAATTAGCTTAAAAAGCTGAAATTAGAAAAACATTGCTGAAAAGTAGCTGAAAAGGTAGAAGCTTAAAATACCAGAAGGAAGTGGAAGGTGCTGAAATTAGCTAAAAAAAAAATGGTACTAGCTGAAAAAGCTAAAATGAGTACAAAACAGTTAAAAGGAAGCTGAAATAGCAGATAAAGCTGAAACTAGCAGAAAGAAGTTAATTAGGCTGAAATCAGCTAAAATTACCACACAAAAAATTGATTTTTTAAAAATCTGAAAACAGCTCAAATTAACTAAATGCAAAAAAACAAAACAAAAAAAAAAGGCTGAAAAAGTAGAACATGCTTAAATTAGCAAAAGAAGGCAGAAATAATGCGTTTGCTGAAAGAATTGAGCAAAAAAACGTGGGAATTATCTGAACAAAAGGCAAAAAACAGCTGAAAAGTAGTTGAGAAAGCAGCAAGAAGTTGAAATTACAAGAAATAAGTGGAGAGAGCACATTTTTGCTGAAGTAGGCTGAAAAAAGTTGAATTGAGTACAAAAAATGTAGAATTAGCTGAAAAAGCTTAAATTAGCATAAAACAGCTAAATAGTAGCTGAAATGGCAGAAAAAGCTGAAACTTGCAGAAATAAGCTGAAAGGAACTTAACAAGCTGAAATTAGCAGAAAGAAGTTGGAAGAAGCACAAAAATGTAGTTAAAAGATTCTGAAAGGAGCCCAAAACAGCTGAAAAACAGCTGACATTAGCTGAAAATAGCTGAAAGTTTAAATTTGCACAAGGAAGCTAAAAGAAGCCGAAGCAGAACAAAATGTGAAAGGAGCAGTAAAAGGTTGTAAACAGATATAAAGATCTGAAGGATGTAAAATGAGCTCAATTTATTTTCTTTGAGGAAACAAATGGCAGAAAAAGCTAAATATTTCAAAAAGCTAAAGTTGCACCAAAACCAAAAGTCATAGCAGGATTGTCCTGAAAAAGCTGAACGTTTTGATTTATGATTTGTTGGAATAGCTGAAAACTGAACAAAAGTGATCACAATAGTGTGAATGTTTCATAAACATTCACACTATTATTGTTTTAATGTTTAGCCCTTTGTAAACTGAAGTTTGAATGTAAAGTCACCTAACGTTGAAGGAACCAGAAGCCTGGTAGACCTCATGACTTCAGGCTGTCCAGTCCGTGTTCACGTCTTCCTTCATGTCGCATTGATCTGATTTTATTGGACTAACATCAACAAGTCGTGTTTTCCAGGTGTGCAGAGCAGCTCAGAAACTACACAAAGTGTCGAGATGAAGTCCTCCTGAGGATCACGAGGGCTGAAAGCAGGCTCTTAGAGGTTACATCAGACAAAGTCACCTGTCTGACTGACTGTACTGACCAGGAGGCCAAGCTCAGAGTACGTTCAGATCCACCGAGCCTGCCAGTTGGTTTTCCTTTAGAAAGAAACTCTCACCACTTGGACCCTTGTGGAGCAATGTGGACCGTGGCTGAGATGTTCCTGTGTTCTTTAGGTTCTGTCTGAGGAGATGGAGGCCCTGCAGAAACATCTGGAGGAGCTGAGGGAGTGGTGCCCAGACCAGAGCTGTCGTGGAGGCCGGGAGGCTGCAGGGGCCTCCATCTGCAGACGGGTGTCAGGTTTCCGGAGCTGCGTCCAGAAGCTGACGGCTCGGAGCAGACAGAGGATCTCAGAGTGGCTCAGCATCACGGACAGCGTGAGTAGACCAAAGGTGAACTGCAGGTGGACTACACAGCAGCCGGTGCTTCTTTGACTGGGTCTCACTGTTCAGGTGGAGAAAGCCCGTGTGGTGTTGGAGCAGGTGGAGGCAGAGCTCCCTGACTCCTCCAAGGTGAAGTCCTCCTCCGAGGAGCTCCAGGACCTGCTGCAGGCCTGGGAACAGTACCAGGACAGACTGGACTGCGAACACCGAGCATTGTCCGCGTTGGAGCTGCGCGCAGCCCGGCTGCTGGGAGTCCCCGCCCACCTGGAACAGGCTCCTCCCACTCCCCTCTGTCAGCAGCTGCAGCAGATGCAGAGCCGATACAGCAGGTAAATCCGATGGTTCATCGTTCAAGAAAAAAAAAATCTGTTGCCACAAATATGAGTTGGTGTTAAATCTAAAGCAGAAAGGTGAGTCGTGGTAAAAATAAACATTTAAAACAAACTCCTTTGTTTTAATCACATTTAAACTTTGTTTTCTGTTAAAAACTAACATCCGACTAAAAGCTATCAGGTTTACAATGATGTCAAACATTTCAAACTGCGGAGTCACCTGCGGCAGCTGCTGGATTTCTTCTTCTAAAGGTGCCTTTATTCCTTCTGAGCTGTGCGCGCCCTCTTGTGGCTGATTTAAGTATTGCACAGTTTATTGGAATTGTTAATTCAGCCTTTATTTATACAGGTTAGTCTCATTGAGCCACGAGGACTCATGTTCAACAGAGACCTGCTTTAGACTGACAATATATAAAGTACAGACAACAATAATTCAACAAAAAGCAATTAAATCAAATAAAAATTTATAAACAGTCAAATCAAGGCGCCATATAAAACAAGGTAAAATACTAATTGCTTTGATATTTTTATTGACATTATCAAATGTTTCTTGTTATAAATATGAATGTTATAAAAAGTTGTTTTCAAATGCACATAATCAACAAAGAAACATTTATGTGTTTAGGTAAAATTTTAATTTCCACTGGTTTTGTGTCTTTTAAAGGTTTTTCTTCTCTTTAGCACTTTTTAAAATCATATTTAATTCCTAGTTTTAAGTGGAACCTTAGTTTTTTTTTTTATTTAATTCAGGCTTTCTGTAGAGCCCTAAAATATTTCTATGAACCGAACCTTTTCGTGCTGAAATCCAAAGGAAACAGAACCCATCAATGATCCAGCAGAACATGTTAGGTTCTCAGACTCAGCAGGTAAGACCATCGTTACTATCGTTCGGATCTAAACCTGCATTAAAAATGGTTTTGTTTAGCCTGATTAGCTCAGATTAGTTTATCTGGTCTGATGGTTCAAACTGTGCAGATGTTAAAAACTGTTCTGTTTTGCCTGAAAACATCTGGACCGTATGACTCCTGTCCTCTTGGATCAGTCCACTCGCCTTCACTTTAAACCTGTCTCTTAAAAACTTGGCATCAACAAGTCCTCCAACAGGTCTCCTTCTCTACAACTCTTTCTGTTTTTAACCTTTTTTCTTTTTTATCGTTGAGTATGAGAAGTTGAGCAGAACCTGAACCCTCTCAGGTGGGATAAACAGATCCGGACTCTGACCCTGAACTCTAAACCTGGTCTCTGTCCAGCTGTCCCAGTCTTTATCTTTGGGGTGAGTCGACGTGTTTGTGTGTTTTCAGTGTGAAGCAGAAGAGCAGGGCAGGCTTTCAGGCCTCCAGGAGGGAGCTGCAGGACAGGGAGAAGGTCCACGAGGAGCTGCAGGTGGTTCGGGTCTGGCTCGGCGCCGCAGACGGCCTGCTGTCGCAGATGGAGACGTGCAGCAGCTCTCAGCAGCTGCAGGTGACATGACTCGTTCAGCAGGAAGTGCTACAGCTAGCTGCTGGTGTCCTGTTTGTAAATAACCGTGTAACAAAACAAATTAAAAACTGTGTAAAGGTTTTAAAATAGTCGTTTTCAGGACCAGCCTTTAGCTCATCAGTCCTGTCAGATCCTTGTTTCCAGGACAATTGACCGTTTTTCTTGGTTTTATTCGAACCTTCGATCATTGTTCTTAGCGTTTAAAGGCCTGTGTGTTTCAGGAGCTGTACAGCCAGCTGTTTACCCATAAGGCTTTGCTGCAGCGCATCACAGACAGCCTCAGAATGAAACACTCCGACCCAAACGCTCCGGTACCGGCGGACATTGACAGCCAGCTGCAGGAAGCCACAAAGTCCCTGCAGGAAGTGGAAACAAAGGTACGCCCCAGGTGTTCTGGATCAGAACGTCTCTGAGCAGAACCTTGTTTTGAGATGACTGGACCGGCGTCGGTTCTGTCCCTGGATCAGTCCAGTTTTACTGTTTAATGGTTACTGTTTGTGGTTCTGACCCGGACGGATCAACCAGAACTTTTGCATCTTTCCCTTCCGTTTGGATCTCTGTCCCAGAACCTGGTGCAGGTTCCACATCACTGCAGACTACGACCCCGGCCTGCTCCGGTGAGTCCCACCTGAGTGAGGAGGTTCTGAACGGTTCTTGTCTCTGATTGGTTCCTCAGGTCGGGGAGGCGGTGGAGCGGAGCGGTCCGGTCCATCGGCTGGGTGCAAAGCTGTCTGACATCCAGGCTGGGCTGAGGTCAGTCCAGAACCGACTGGAGGACAGGAGTCCAACTGTAGCTCAAGCAAAGTTCACTCAGAAGGTGGGTGTCCCTCCCCAGGGGTCCGGTCCATACGGGGACGAGGGTCCAAGTCAAGTCTGGTTCTGGAAGTCCAGTATGAGAACAACACACAAAGTTCTGACTTGTCTCTGTCCTCAGAGAGTGTGGGACGGTTTGGACCTGTGGCACTCCCGACTGGCGGCGCTAGAGGTGGAACTGCAGGACCTGGAGAGACCAGATGAGACCCTGGTCCTGACTGAGAGACTGGTGGAGGTCCAGCAGCTCCACTCCCTGGTGTCCAAGCAGGCCGAGCAGAGGACGACCCTGCTGAGCAAGGTGGTCCAAACTGTCCAACTTCTTGTCTTTAACTTGAGTAGTCTCCAGGTTTGACGTCCTCAGAGCACCGAGGAGTTCTTACATCATCCGGATCAGAACTTTTCACTGTTTGTACTTTATTCTGTACTACGAATGAGTACTACTACTAGAATACTTTATTACTAGAGTATTTTACTACTAAAGAACTTTACTGTTACAGAACTTTACTACTTAATCACTTTAATACTCCAGAGCCTTACTACAGTGCTTTACTACTACTACAGTTCTTCTACAGCACTGTACTACTACAAAAATTTTACTACTACAGAACTTTACTACTAGATAAGTTTTTTACTACTTCACAATGTTGTATGTTTACGCACAAAGTTACTACTACAATACTTTACTTTTGCAGAACTTTACTACTATACATATTTGACTAATAAAAGCCTTTTCTACTACAGTACTTTACTACTACATACTTTTTACTACTACCCAACAATGTACGTTTACACATAACGTTACTACTACGATACATTAGTTACATTTACTGAACTTTACTACTTTACAACTTGGACTACTACTGAACTTTTACTACTACAGTACATAAGTTTGACTACTTCACAAGTTGTGAAGAATGAATTTTGTGAATCACAACGTTGTACATTTATGCACAATGTTACTACTCCAATACTTTACATTTGCAGAACTTTAGTATAACTTTGTCTACTACAGTATTTGACTATTTCTTTGATCTTCTTCAGCTCTCGAGCTCTAATTTAGTTTAGTCCTTTAGCTGCAGTTCTGCTCTTAAATTATTGTCTGGTTCTGTTCAGGTCCGCATGGTTCTGGTTCTGTTCAGGTCCACATGGTTCTGGTTCTGTTCAGGTCCACATGTGCTTCTGGTTCTGTTCAGGTCCACATGTGCTTCTGGTTCTGTTCAGGTCCACGTGGTTCTGGTTCTGTTCAGGTCCACGTGGTTCTGGTTCTGTTCAGGTCCACATGTGCTTCTGGTTCTGTTCAGGTCCACACTTGGCTCCAGGAGCACCAGGAGATGATCAACAGCTCTCGGAGCTGGATGGTCGAGGCTCAGTCGTGGCTCGTCGCTCCGTGCACGTACACCTCAGCTAAGTGTCTGCACAGCCACGTGCACGCTCTCCAGGTGCGTTCGCTGCTCCGCGCTCACACCTTCACCTGCTGAACTCTATTGTTACAGCCCGGTTCTGTGGTGCAGGTGGTGCTGGACGACTCGTCTCAGATCCGGAAGACGCTCCAGGGCTTCGGCCCGGTTCTGAGGGACATGTCCCAGGTGTGTGATGTCACAGCTCTGCAGGAGCAGCTGAGAGAGGCTGACGTCCAGGTGGCCCAGGTCCAGGACAGTTTCTCAGCTCCTCTGTCCCAGCTGGAACACGCCGCTGCCGTGAGTTCCTGGTTCGATTCTTCTGACTCCGCCCACTCCTCTTCCTGTGGAGTGGGCGGAGTCATGGACTGACCTCTGTGTTTCAGGAGGTGGAGGCCATCGAAGGGGAGGTCAGACAGATGGAGAGTGATGTGGCTGAAATAAAGACCATCTTGTCTTCTCCAGAGGCGTTCCCCAGCCCCAGAGAGGAGAACCTGAAGGTCAGACCAGACCAGCTCTGAACCAGAACTGGATCAAACTCGTTCTTTTTGAAGTTATGATGGTTGATCAGTTTATGTTTTTTTATCTTTACAGACGATTGAGCAGAAGATTCAGTCCATGAGGAGAACTGTAGCTGAGATCCAGAAATGTAAACCGGGTCTTTGTCTTCCAGAGAAGGCAGAAGAGACTCTTCTGGTCTTTAACGTGGTGGACCAGCTCCAGGTTCTGCTGCAGGACCTGGAGAAGGTCAGTCTGTCAGTCGGTAACTTGATCTGCAGTGTTTCTGGTTCTGAACTGCATAAACGACCGTTTCTTTGCAGAAAATTCCCGCCCTGTTTATCCAGCAGCCTCAGACTCCAGCTCGAGACAAAGCGTCCACCAAAGTCCCAGAATCCCTCTCGTCTGAAGAGGCGGAGGTGAGTCTGGACTAAAAACCAACGCAGGACCTAAAGTTTCAGGAGCTCTTTGTCTTTGAGAAAAATCAGCTGACCAGCCTCGCTCCTTGTCCCTAACAGGAGGACCAGGGTCAGATTACTACAGTCCATTTAAAGGAGGACATCCTGAGGAGATCTGGAGGAACTCTGCAGATGGTGAAGCAGTCCTCCCCAGAACAGAGGCAGTCCAGGTCACCAGAACCAGACCGAGTAAGAACCGTCTCCTGATCCGTCTCTCTGCTGCTACACAAACACGATGATAAAACCCGATTTTATCATCGATAATCCCGGTCTACACGGCAGGAATGTTAAAGGATCAGGACCTGCATGTGCTTTATTAACAGATTAAATAATCCAGATGTTTCGACTAATTCTCCTCCAGATGTTTCTACTAATTCTCCTGGTGTTTTAGTGAGGTACTGGTCCTCTGAGGTTAAACGGGAACTCTGTTCAGCAGCTTATTTCAGCTACGAGCCAAATGTTCTTTTAAACAATGTTTTTTTTTATTCAGGATAGTTTAATATTTATTCACCTTAATTTAACCGGGTTAACCCCATTAAGATCACCTGAAGGCAGCCTGAACGTGCACAGGAAACGAGTATCCAGAGAAAACCCACAAGGAGAACTTGAACACCAGGTCCAACCCAGGGTTTGAACCCAGAACCTCCTGGTTGAAGGTCTTCAGACCTCCTGTGTTTGAGTCTATAATGTTTAGATACAACAGTGCTGTCCCACCATGTCCATCATTTCACTGATGTCTTCAACACCCCACAGGCACTTCATCTTTCCACTAAATCAGACTTGTGCAGCTTTGGTCACTTCGTACCCAAACTTTTTAGGTACAAAAAGCCCTCTCCGCCATGGGCCTCTCTGTTCACCACTTCCTACCTGCCATGGCAGCCTCCCACTGGAGGCTGGAGCAACAGTTCTGGAGGTGGGGTCAGGACCCAACAGAGGGTCATGAAGATGGGGCGTTGAGAAGATCTGCAAAAGTCAGTTACCTTTTAAAATGATCGTCAGCGACGAACCTAAAATGAACCGTTTCAAAAAGATGAAACCAGCCGTCCTGAATACGTTTAAGGCTTTCTTGTTTAATGGCTTTTGGATTTCACTTGGGAGCGTTGCATGTCTGCATTGCTTTTGGGTGTTGCTTGCAGGGCGTTGCTTCCAGGACGTTGCTTGCAGGGCGTTGCTTGCAGGGCATTGCTTGCAGGGCGTTGCTTCCAGGACGTTGCTTCCAGGACGTTGCTTGCAGGGCGTTGCTTCCAGGACGTTGCTTCCAGGACGTTGCTTCCAGGACGTTGCTTCCAGGGCGTTGCTTGCAGGGCGTTGCTTGCAGGGCGTTGCTTCCAGGGCGTTGCTTGCAGGGCGTTGCTTCCAGGGCGTTGCTTGCAGGGCGTTGCTTGCAGGGCGTTGCTTGCAGGGCGTTGCTTGCAGGTCTTGGTAGTTTACTTTAGCCTGCAATTGCTGAGGTCGTAAGTTTATGCAACTTTTAAGTTGTGGGTCAAGAAGTGAAACTGTTGAACTGGAGGACACTTTGGAGATGAAGATGATTTGGAACGTTTTCTTGGTGCTTTCCATAGCTCCTCTAAAAAGCAGGAGTCAACATCCCATACCACATTCTTTATAAAGTACCTCAAAACCTCAACAAGGCTGACCAAAGTGCTGTACAACATTCATTCAACCTTTATTTATACAGGTTAATCCCATTGAGCGTCAGGGACTCATTTACAAGAGAGACCTGAATTTTAACAGTGATGACAACAGTGGACAACAACGCCAATAACAGACAATCATAAAAGATGCGTACAAATTTAACTTTTTTTTTTAAATAACAAATAAACAAGAAAATAATAAATAATAATAAATAATTTAATAAATGTTTTATTAAACAATAAAACAAACATGAAAAGGACACAGGATAAAATACATAAATCCAGAGGTAAAGATAAGAAAATAAATAACTAAAAAAATAAATACACAGTGAATTTAAACACAGCCCACACTGGGTCGAAAGCCAGGAAATTAAATTTATTATTTTAACCGAGACATAAAAACGGGAAGCGAGGCAGCCAGCCTGACATGTAGCGGTAAACCAGTCCACAATTTTGGACCTGCAGCAGAGAAGGTTCTGTCAACACTGAGCTTGTATGGAGTTTGTGGAACCATTAAAAGCATCTGATCTGGGCGGCTGTGGCGGTGTCCTCGAATACAAGAGTTGGGGGTTTGATTCCACCAGCAGCCACATGTCGAAGTGTCCCTGGACAAGACACTGAACCCCTCATTGCCTCTGTGTGTCCCATCAGTGTATGAATGTGATAAAACTCTGATTATTCTTTGTATAGATCTAGTAGAGCGCTGTATGAATGGGTAAATGAGGCACAGATTGTGTTGTAAAGTGCTTAGTGTCTTGATAAGATAGAAAGGTGCTATATAAGTACAGTCCATTTATCATTTATCTGCTTACCTCAGAGCGCGCTGTGGGACATATGGCTGCAGCAGATCAGAGAGATAAGAGGGCACAACTGTTAAGAAATTTAAAAACATACAAAAGGATTTTAAAATGTAGTCGGGAGTGAACCAGAAGCCAAACACAGAAATGTGCTCCCTCTTGCCTGTACCAGTTAAAAATTGGGCTACAGCATTTTGAACCAGCTGCTAACAAGAACTAGATGCCTGACTGATTCCAGAAAGAATAGCATCGCAGGAATTACAACTGGATGTTATGAAAGCATGAGTTACTGTCTCAAGGTTTCGGGCTTCAATTTAGACAGTCGCCTCTAGTGAAAAAAATAGGATTTAACCATCGTGTTTACATGAATGTTTAGTTTCATGGAAGGGTCTATTTTCAATCCCAGATCAGTGACAACCTGTTTCTCATAAGGGGCCAGGGAGAAAAGGTCGATGCAGGGTTTCCTGTTGATGGAAATTACTTCTGTCTCCCTCTCATTACATTTACAAAATTTCAAGCCATCCAATCCCTGATGTCGACCAGGCAGTCAAGGAGAGGTTGGACAGAGTGTGCATCAGTGTGCTTCAGAGAGAAGTAAATTTAACGATCATCAGCGTACAAATGAAAAATAACCGCTAGCAGCAGCAGGTATAAAAAAAAAGAAAAAAAAAAGAAGCGGTCCAAGAATGGAGCCCTGCTGTACCTCGCATTGAAGAACCACTGGTGTGGAAATAAATTCCTTGATGTTGACACAAGTCCTATAGGAGAGGTAGGACCCAAACCACCTGATGGCTGACCCCACCAGTGCCTTTTTCTTCTTCGTATTCTTTCATTCTGACACTTTAAGCCCATCTGTTCCATACGTGTTTCGTACGAAATGACCACCACAAAGGTGCGGTACGATTTGGTGAAGGGATGAATGATGTCACCTGCTTCTCTCCCATAACAACCATCACTATTTTTAACCTTGTTTGGTTTCTAGTTTTATTTTTTCTCCTCTTGCTAACCCTCCGTCATTCCATAAGTGTTCAGGTTTTTAAAAGTTCAAGCACCTGAAAAATAAAAACAATAAACAGGACAGGATTCAATGAAACCGAGTCATCATTGGTAGTCACCGCCCTGCTGTTGTAACCCTGGGTCTGAGCCTGTTTCCGTGTCAGCAGCAGGAGCCTGAGGGCGAGCTCCGGGCTGAAGGAACCACAGAGACAGAAAGCAGTGAGGAGCTGAGAGGGGAGGACTTTGGATCAAGTGTTTTTTGGTGGCTCTGGGATGCTTTTCTGCACGGAGCGTCACCAGAGGTAAAGATCGAGGACTTCTCTGGAAACCTTTTTTTGTTGTTGTTGTTTCTTTTCACTTTAGAGCTCCGTGTGTCCAGGTCAGCCAGTGTTGTACCTCTCAGTTTGAGGACGTGATGTAGACACTAATTAAATGTTTTGGGGCAGATGTGACACATCTGACACCATAAACCTGATATTTCAGCTACAGCTGCGTGACTAACCCCTGACCTGGGTCACTTTGCTCTCTGCAGGTGATAGAGACCTCTCACCTTACTAACCTCTTCAAGCAGGTCCCTCAAGTAGATCTCCTGATCCTTCATACATTTCTGGCATTGTAATGTCTCCTCACTGTACGGCTCGCTGTTGTTCCTCCATCAGAGGGCAGCATCACTCAGCATTTAGAACTGCAGCAGCATGCTGAACATGTTCTGTAAACTCGTGAATGTTTAAACTTCAGTTTCTTTCACAGCAACTAAAATGTATTTTTATAGGATCAGTGATGCCTGATGTTGATGTTTGGAACCAGCTGGGCAGGTGTTGAAACCAGCCACTAGGGAGCACAAGCCAGTGTGTCTATGTGCTGGGCCCAAGGCTGGGTAAATGGTGAGGTTTGAGTCAGGAAGGGCATCTGATGTAAAACATGTATTCAACGACACCATACCGAATCGGTCAAGGCCCGGGTTAACAATGACTGCCTGGTGCCTTTGACAAACAGGGCGCTGGTGGAAATTGTGCTTCTGTTACTCGAAGACCACGAGGAGGGAAACGTGCCAGGAGACCGAAAAAGAGGAAAGTCAAGAATGTAGGACTGAAGGTGGCGACTCTAAATGTGGTGACAATGACAGGCAAAGGTAGAGAGCTGCCTGACATGATGCCGAGAAGGAAGGTAGATGTTTTGTGTCCAAGAGACAAGTGGAAAGGCACCAAGGCTCACAGCATTGGAGCAGAGTTCAAACTGTTTTACCATGGTGTGGATAGAAAGAGAAATGGAGTAGGGTGGTACTGAAGGAGGAGTTGACAAAGAATGTAGTAGAGGTGAAAAGAGTGTCTGATAGGGTGGTGTGCCTTAAGGTAGAAGTAGAAAGTCTGATGCTAAATGTCATCAGTGGTTATGCTCCACAGGTTAGATGTGATGTGGAGGAGAAATATACCTTTTGGAAGAATCTGGATGAAGTGATAGAGAGTATTCCCAGGGAGGAGAGAGTGGTGATCGAAGCAGACCTGAATGGACATGATGGTGAAGGAAACGGAGGGGATGAGGAAGTGATGGGTAGATTTGGTGTCGAGGAAAGAAACCAGGATGGACAGATGGTGGTGAATTTTACCAAGAGAATGGAAATGGCTGCAGTCAACACGTATTTCCAAAAGAGGGAGAAACGATAATCCAGGCAGAATGAAGAAAAGTTTCATGAGTGATGTACAACAAAACTGTATCAGCAAACGTCAAAGGAAATGTTTACAAGACAGTGGTGAGACCAACTATGTTGTATGGTCTGGTGACAGAGACATGGACAATAAAGACAGGAGACAAGACAGAAAGTGGTAGAAATGAAGATGTTGAGGTTCTCCTTAGGAGTGACAAGTATGGAGAAGATCAGGAATGAGATCATCAGAGATACAGCACAGGTTGAACAACTGGGAGATAAAGTTAGAGAGTTAGAGAGGCCAGACTGAGATGGTTTGGACATGTCCAGAGGAGAGACGGTTGGTATATTGGTAGGATGTTAGAAATGCAGCTGACAGGAAAAAGACAGAGGAGATATATGGATGCAGTTAGAGAGGACATGGAGGTAGTTGGAGTGAGGACAGCTGACACAGAGGACAGAGTGAGATGGAGGACTTGCTATGGAGCACCTGAAGAGGGGACAGCTGAAAGAAGTAGTAGTGTCCATGCTTGTACCCTAAGGGTAATAACTGTGATTGTTTTGTGTCAGGAACCGGTTATCCCTGAAGAGACTGAAGCTGCTGCTGGTCCAAGCTCCCACCAGACAGAAGACACAAAGGTAACCACATACTCTGTCAGTGTTTCAACCATTTTTGTTTTTTCAAGACATGGCTGATTGTAATTTCTGTTTGTAAGTAAACCAAACCAAAGACAATTAAAGACAGATTATGTCTTAAGTCTTCCAGGACCTGGTCCAATCCTAAGAGCCTACTGGACTTTACTGGACTTAAAGTCCAGTAAAAACCTTGAAGGGTTCATTAGAAAGGCTTCTTCATGAGAAGGGAAGACTTTTCAGTTAAAGGTGAAACTTTTTAATTAACTGAAGAGGCCAAGTAAAATATTGTCCAGGTCTGGACCACTCTGAGCCTTTTTGACAAACTCAGGTCCTCCTGAAAGTAAACTGAAGTCCCAAAACCATCCTGGAGTCAGAACCAGATCCAGTCAAGTCCAACAGTGCATTTTATTCCACAAAGAGAACCGGGTGTCAGGACGCGGGACTCCTTGAATCATTTCCAGTGACTGAGTCATTTTGTGATGACGCAGAGAAAGGGTGGGCCTGTGATCGGAGGGTCGCCGGTCAACTCTCCGGTTCAACTCCCTGGACCGACAACATCAAAATGTGGGTGGTAAAGGTGAAACACCTGCACTCTGGGCCCATGAGCAAGGCCCTTAACCCCCCAGCTGCTCCCCAGGTGCCCTAGATCATATGTGTCAACAAACTCAAGGCCCGGGGGCCAAATGTGGCCCTCGTTGACATCTTATCTGGCCCCCAAGATGCTATTTTAAATGTAAAATACTTTTATCATTTTAATTTTTTCCAGTAATCTTTGATTTATGATGTCAAAAGTGCAACAGAGAACATCAAATGAGACCAATCAAACTCTTGTTGAGGAACCTGCAACCAAGAAAAGATGTTGGGTGTCTAACTTGAGTTAATGTAGATTCTGAAACCGGCCCTTAGTTTGACAAAGGTTTTAATTTTAGCCCCCTTTTGTAAGTGGGTTTGACACCCCTGCCCTAGATGGCAGCCCTCTGCTTCACGTGCGTGTGCTCACATGTGCAATGGGAAAAATTTCAGAGATTTGATTTCCCCATTGGGTATTAATAAAGTGCAATAAATAATTTAAAAAAAATTCTGATAAACCCAGCTCTGATTTGGTCTTCTCGAGCTGCAGTTTGAGGCTCACTAAGGAAACTGTTGAGCCCAGCTTCATCACCATGGTAACGGGCTGAACTCCTGCTCCGGAGCACTTGATGAGGCGAACATTTAGGGAACTCCCTCACAAATGCCGGTCTCAGATCGTTCCCATCCATCTCTGGTGGAGGTTTAGTCGAGCCGGGCTTGGAGGAGAAAGCCCAGCTTTGTCTCTTTCTTTGGTTGGTGTATATTTTATTTTATTGTACTATATTAATCCCCAATGGGGAAATTAATTCACTGGATTTTTTTCCATTGCATTGAGCACACGTGAAGCAGAGATCTGCCATCCAAGGTGCCTGGGGAGCAACTGGGTGGTGTGGAGACGTTAAGGGACTTGCTCATGGGCCCAAAATTGGGCAAACGAGGGTGGAGGCAGGTGTGGGCGTTTCACCTTTTCCACCCGCATTTTGATGCTGTCGGTCCGGGTAGTTGACTGGCGACCCTCCTTTCACAGGCCCACCCTCCCTAACCTCTGCACCACCACTCCCATTTGCAGTGTTGCATTTGTATTTGCAGTACATGGCTGACCGGACTGATCTTTTAACTCTGCTCGTGTCTCTTCAGGACGTCAAGAGCTCCACCGACACCACAGAAGAAAGTTCCCCTGAATCTTTTGCAGAACCTTTGGGCACGGTCAGAACCCAGACCCAGTCTGAGACCACAATAAACACGGCTGCCGCCGCAAACGTCTCCAAGGCCGACTCCAAGTCCCAGCAGAGATGTTTGATTTCATAGAAACGTATTTTCTTCCTTCTCTTGGTTCTTTTAGAACCTTCAAACTGTCTTTTATTCTCTGAACTGCTCCAGAACCTCCTGGCTCTGTCAAGACATTTAATCCTTTAGTTCTCTTATTTCCAGAGACTACTGGAGTTTCTGACAAATGTATCTGAATGTTCCAGGTGGACTCTCGAGGTCTTCTAACATACAACGTTTTAAAAAGTTAAATCTGATCTTTTATCTTTTCTGTGTGAGAGATCTAAAACCTTCAGCAAGAACCCGAGGCAGACTTTAGATCTGCCTGCAGGACTGTTTCAGGAGGTATCAGTCCTGATGTTTAGAAAACAAAAATTAGAAATGATTTCTTTGTAAAAAAAACATTTGATAACTCTTCCATCATCAGGACATCTCCATAGATGAAACAAATTAAATCAACTTTTATTTTTCCAGCAACAAATCCAATCACTTTTGCGATCGTGGTCCGTTTAAAAAACTCAAGTTGCTCAGAGTCCAGAGTCGGCACGGTCACAGCGAGTTTCAAATAAAAAACAAAACAAAAATAAAAGCCCAGATTAACCCGAGCCTTTAAAAATAAAAGTCTTCTTGTGTGTTTTTTTTAATGAAGGATGCTGAGCTGGCAGAGAATATTTCAGCTCAACAGGCTGACGCGAGCGGGTCGGGTCAGAATGACACAGCACATTATCTGCTGAGTCAGAGGTGGCGTTCGTATTTATGCTTTGATGGAACGTGACGAGTCGTTCGGTCTCGTGGTTTTTGTATCAGAGCCCTGTTTTATTTAACATCATTCAGTTTTCTGTGTGGATCTTTATCATCTGGTCTCAGTTACCAGGACATGCAGAGTGAAAGTGTAAAAAATGAACCTTTGATATTTATAAGCTCTCCTTCTTCTGTACATGTTATATTGGAGCTTGTTGTTTAGACAAGAACTTAATCTGGTGTGGACGGGAGGGTCCTGTCTTTCTAATCTGGATTACAACTGCTGGGGATGTAACTCGCTGCCGACAAGCGAAACAAATTTGATTACGTCCTAAAGTGATGTGGTGTTTAACGAAACGCTTGGTTTGAATAAACACCAACGTTCCTAAAGCTTCTGATGATGGATGGTCACGATGATGTTTTCAGGTTTGTCTTGAAGTTTTGAGTGAAAAAAACAAATAAACACAAATAAGTCCTCAGTCTCGTCTTTTCCTGCTCAGAGGGACATGTTGGGGGGGAGGGGGGGGGGTGCACGTCATATTATAACTATAATGTAAACTCAGAAGATGTTTTGGGTGATATAGAAGAACTTTAATGGAGCTGAAGCAGAAACCCCGTCTGGTCGATGTACTGAATTGACTCCAGGAAAGTCTTTGACTTGATGTCCCTTGATGTTTGTGTCCATAGACGCCGAAGAGACAAAAACTGTCCAACATCAGTCTTCGTCAAGATCCGTCAAGAACTCGATGGGAATTGGGTAAACGGATGATTTGCAGCAGGCTCTGCCCCCACTCCTGTCCTGCATAAGCCTGAACCCCATCGACTCATTGCAGAGTGGTTACTGGTTCCAGAGCAGAACCATCGTCGGCTATAAAGAGGCGACGTGATCACAAGTGAAGGGGTTGAACTACCTGAACGCAAACTTGCAGATGTTTAACGACCAATTGTTAGATTGGTCGTCCTCCTGTTTACATGTGAACAACTAGTTCTGGATGTGACCAGTAAACTGGTTGATCCACTATGAGAAGGGGCTATTTATAAAACCGAGTTAGTTGCATTTTCTCAGACTAAGTCCATCCATCCATCCCTCCTCTTCCTCTTGTTTTGAAGTCTGGTCGTGGGGGCAGCAGATTGAGCAGGGAGGCCATCTCTTTCCACAGCCACCTCTTCCAACTCTTCTGGGAGGACTCCAAGGCATTCCCAGGTCAACCAAGAGACATAATCTCTCCAGCGTGTCATAGGTCTTTCCCAAGGTTTCCTCCCAGTTGGACATGCCTGAAGGGCCTCCCTAGGGAGGTGCCCAGGGAACATCCTTACCAGATGCCCGAACCACCTCAGCTGGTTCCTCTCAATGTGGAGGAGCAGCGCTCCCAATCCCATACTTGAGGAGCACCCCCCACAGTGTACCTCGAGGAACACGGTTGAATGCCTTCTCAAAGTCCACAAAGCACATGCATACTGGATGGGCAAACTCCCATGACCCCTTGAGGACCCTAGTGAGTGTAAAGAATTGGTCCAGTGTTCCACAGCCAGGATGGAACCCGCATTGTTCCTCCTGGATCTGAGGTTCGACGAATGATCTTACTTGCTTCTGTAGTACCCCTGAATAGACCTTACCAAGGAGGCTAAGGAGAGTTATGTCCCTATAATTGGAACACACCCTCTGGTCCTCCTTTTTGAAGAGGGGAACCACCACCCCAGTCTGCCAATTCAGTGGCATTGCCTCTGATGTCCATGTGATGTTGCAAAGGTGTGTCAACCAAGACAGCCCTACAACATCCAGAGCCATAAGGAAATCAGAGCCTTTTATCTTATCCAAAAGACTGAGGAAGTCTTCTGTGTAAAAGATGAAACATTTCAACAAAGAATCCGTCCAGAGGACCTGACTCTACCTTGTTACATTTGATCAGGTAGCTTTTCTCCCACGATGCACCGGATGTTGACTCTGTAACATGAGTTTGTTCCAGGTTCAAGTTCAAGAATCTTTATTACCTCAAAAGGCAATTTGTTTCACAGTCAGACTCATAAAACATTCATACTAGACAAGATATTAAAACATTAAAATATCGGTACAGAAATCACCCCTGTTCATTTGAGAAACCTGATCATGGCAGGGCTGAATGAGTTTTTCAGTCTGTTCTACGTCTGGGCAGCAGTTACCTGCGTCCAGATGGAAGCAACCTGAACTCGCCATGGAGTGGTGATCAGGATCTGCCAGAATCAGCCTGGCCTCGTTCACTCACCTCGCCTTGTGTAGGTCAGTGAGGTTCTGTAGGGCTATGCCAGCAGTTTTGCTGCACCTCCTGATAATCCTCGAGAGTTTGTTCTTGTTCTTACATGTTAAAAAATCCAACAGCAGATGAAGGTAAGAGTTAAAAGACTTGATAAAACTCGAATAAAATATTCTGATGGAAGTAGAATCGACATTAAAATCTCAAAACTTCAGACAAAAATACATTCTCAAACAGAGACAAACTATATATATATATATATATATATATATATATATATATATATATATATACACAGTACATACAAAAATAAATAAATAAAGCAAACAAAGAACTGAAAGACAAATTAAGACTAAATAAAGAGTGAGAAAGTGAGTTGTTAAAGTTGATGTGTGGTTTTGGGGCTGCAGGTTCCCCCCTGCTGAGGCTGACGAAGAGGAGGAGGACTGGGCCCAGCCGAAGCTGCTGGATTTGGAGCGGACCTGGCTGCTTCCTTCTGGGAGGCGAACCTTCATCCTGACAGCTCCGAGGATTGATTCTCACGTCTCCAACACTCAGATATAGAAATATGGGTCTTCTTTCTTCGCCTGATTATCACCTCCTTTGAGCTGCAGCAGCTTTGTTGTGTGGTGGGTGTGATGGAGCTCCTGCAGGGCCTGATTAGACGTCGTGGACTCTTCTCCTCATGGATGCTTTTCATGCACGCACCTCTCCTCCTGCTGTCTGTTTGAAGGTGACAGACTCATCTAGGAGGCGTAGTGATGGAACAGCAGGACGCATGATGGGCACAAAACACCTGAAAGCGCTTCAGAGCTTCATCAGACTTCTGAGAGAGCTGAGGCACACATGAAGGGAGCTCCTGATCAGGTGAGGAGCCATTATCACCGCTGCTGATGACAAAATGATGGCAGATGTGGAGAGGCTTGGCTCGAGGGCTGAGGGAAGTTCTTTTCTTTAAGTCACACGAAATGTTGCTCATCTCTCGCAGCTTTTTAGATTTAAGAACTCGACACGTCCGTTAAACTTTTGTTTCTTTATTCCAGATGTAAAACAAGCGCTCCTTGAATGCATGTCGCCCGCTGTGTCGAGATGGAAGCTCAGGATCTCCTCACTCAGTTCTGGTTGAACTGGTGGAGGCTGACTGATCTGATGAAGAGGAGTGATGCTGAAGATACCCTCCTCCACATTCTGACTTGTGTCAGGGCTCTTATTCTGAAAGGACAGGAACAAGAGAAACCATGTTCCTCTCTTTCCTTCAGGTTCATCTAAAGATTGAGTTGCTGTTTGTGTCCCGGTCGGCTCTGTGCAGAGTCCACATCAGGCCTGAGAGAAGGCTTGTTTCAGGCGTGCTGTCCTGTCCCTGCCCTGTCTGTGTTCCTGTCTCTGTCCCTGTCTCTGCCCTGTCTGTGTTCCTGTCTCTGTCTTTGTTTCTGCCCTGTCTGTGTTCCTGTCTCTGTCTGTCTCTGTCCCTGTCTGTGTTCCTGTCTCTGTCTTTGTCTCTGCCCTGTCTGTGTTACTGTCTGTCTTTGTCTCTGTCCCTGTCTCTGCCCCTGTCTGCGTTCCTGTCTGTCCCTGTCTCTGCCCCTATGTGTTCCTGTCTCTGTCTTTGTCTCTGCCCTGTCTGTGTTCCTGTCTCTTCGTCTATGTCCCTGTCCATTTATGCATCTGTCCTGTTCCTGTCTGTCCTTGTCCCTGTCTCTGTCCCTCTCTGTCTCAATCCCCGTTATCTGTTTCTGTCCCTGTCTGTCTCTCTTTGTCCCCATCTCTGTCCCTGTCTGTGTTCCTGTCTTTGTCTCTGTCCCTTTCCATATGTCTTCATCCCTATTTCTGTCCCTGTCTCAGTCCCTGACCTGTCTCTGTCCCTATCCTAACACACCTGGTAAAGATGACACACACCTGAGGTTGCAGGTGAGTCTGCATCAAGCCTCACACTCAGCTCAGCAGCACACGTCTGACACATGTGGAGCTTTTTACTTCACTTTTAACTTAAACTAGAATTTAATATTGGGTGGGTGATGATGTAATTGTGTTTATGTGTCTGTTAGCAAAATATCTTTTGAGCCAATGTTCTTAGATTGAAGTGAAACTAGTAAAGATTGTTGTTGCCTCCA